CACTCATTTCCGTCTGCCTGTCCGCTAATCCAATAATCACCTATAAAGTGAGAAGTACCGCTGGCATTTTGATAAAATTTTTAAACAATGTTACTACTATACCAAGGACGAAATAGATTTGTAGTTTTTGGTCGGTCCAGTGGTGGCGGAGAAAAAGGCAAAAAAAAATAATAAATATCGCCTAGCTTGGCGTTTCAGAGGATCCTCGTCATTAAAAAAGAATTAGAAGCAAAACATTATGGGGTGGGGTTGTAGGCGAGTAGGAATTTTATATTATATCTCAATTTTTTGATGTCAGTATATTTATACGCTCCCAACCTTGGTAATTATATGCACCTCTTACACATCATATATTTCTCCATACATTGGTCCTTAAAACTTATTAATATGTATTCTCAGCAGATGGATCACCTACCTACCGCCGCGTCTGTGTCTGCTCCCGGCGGCATGCCGCTGACCTTGATGAGTGTTCTGGTATTACACGTATTTCTGCCGCGGCTCAGTCTAATACCCTCTCCAGACTCACGCGCGGTTCACGGCGTGAAATCGCGGCGCGGATCGCGGTGCGAATTCCGAAATTTGTTCCTACAGTTCCACACTCGCAAATGTTCGCGCCAGCTTCACAGTATAGTTCGCGCTCTTGGCGAGTATGGATGGTGAAATTGCTACTACTGCTACAGGGCTTCTCTACGCTTTGGCAATTTATAATTACGCATATATAAGTAAAACTAAAACAATTGAAAATAAGTGGAAAAAACACAACCACTCCCGGCACTCGCTATGAGGCAACTTAGCCACAAGCGTTTGTGGAGCCTAGACATCTTCGCCCCTTGCGAACCCTTTGTCGCGGGACAAAAAACCGACAAAAAACGGGAACAACGCGCGAACGCGAAATGAAGCCGCGAAGAATACGCGAATAGGATCCACACTCATGGGTAGGGTAGTTCGCGGCTTCGCGCGGGAGTCTGGAGAGGGCATAATGTTCGCGGGTTAGGTACCGTGGAGAGGCAACGAACCGGTAGGCCAGGGAAATAATGTCTACGGACAACTGAATGGATCTCTTTAACTGACTTTTTTCTCAGTGGATCTGGTTTGTGCTGATTTAATGCATGAACTAATAACGGCGTTGCGTGGGAAGTGCACAACCTACTTGACGATAATTTTTTGCTTTCCGATGAATTTCGGAATTTCGTATGTTTTTACTGGTCCTCTTGGAAAATATTCCTGAGGGCGGCCATCGTAATTGGTCGGATAGTTGTCAAACAGTTGGTGGCACCAAGATCAAAGGAACCGCCAGTGACTGTCGTATCTGTGGTAATACCTCTTATACATCTTGGGTACCCCTCACCCTGCAGTGTTACGGAAATGACTCAATTGTGCAATGCGCACTGCGATTTATTGTTAGTGACGCATATCCCAGGTGCAACCTACCTATGATTAGAGAGATCGCAAAATCACTAATGCAGTAATCCATTCTTTAGTCAAGAGTTCATACACCATACCTCTAATAACCTTTTTATTAATGACTGCTTAATTTCTTTAAACTGCGCACGAAAACAACCATGAATAATGAATGCAACTTGCGTTATTAGTAGATTCGACTTTTTTTTGAATCTCCTACTAATGAATATAAATCGGTATATGAATAGTCCAGTGCAACTGGAAAAATCGCTAGCTCTTCAAAAATTTAAATCGGAGATTTATTAAAATGGGAAAACTAATTACAATATTTAGATACAAATCCTGATGATGGCATCTCATAAACATAATATACTTGGAATGTTAGAAAAAATTTCATATTTCATATTGTAATGTAAAAGAGGTCAGTCATGTATCGGCGTTGGAAGCATATACATATGCTCACATCAAAAAATTGGGAAATATCCTCCCCACCCCCTGAGCCCCAAGATTCCATTTTTAACCCTTCTGGCTGAGCCAATTTCAACGAACTTGGACTAGGTGAAAAGAGCTATTCTAGGGCTACATATGTTATAACATTTAAATTTTTTTTAGTTTCACATGTGGCCGCTAGATGGCTTTTTTCCACATTCCGATAGAAATGGTTAATTTTCTCAAAACATTAAAAGCATTGGTATGATTTCGATATCTTGTTCCTAGGCTAAAATTTAGGCCAAAGAAAATATTATACGGAAATCCCTTGAACTTTTATTTTTTAGCTCTTATTGGCCAGCGGGCCATGAATGCCTGAGCAAGCAGCAACAAGCGAATAGGAGCGACGATCGAGTGCAAAATGATGTTTTTTGGTTTGGGTACTGTATAGTTGGAATTTTTTGAATGTACCACGAAATGCCCATCATATAAATAAACTAACTAGGCTTTGCTTCTGTGCTCACAGCCACGTGTATCCAATTCAGACAATACTCTCGCAAGATTTCGGACTTCGATGGGTCAAGAATCAGTGTACATCTATGGACCAATTTCTAGTCATATTCGAATGGTCAGTTTTATGTATGACCTACCGAATGAGAATCTATCAAGATATGAGGAGCATTTCGTTGGAACCGGGATCACATACTATTAACAAAACAATGCATGTCTAATTTGACAGACCTAACGGGGTACGTGCGTGATTCATTCGTAGCACTGCATACTACGCGTGCTATTTGTTTCTTCCATCTCTTTCTATAATTTTTTTTTCATAGCTTGTCGGTTTTTGCCTTTGTTGACTGCTACCATTGACGTCAATTTGTTTATGTGCCGCGAATTAGAATATAATCGATACAGTGTTGCAACAGTCGTAGGAGCGGTCTAAGTGGAATTTTTGATTTTTTAAAGGAAAGAGGTCGTATGATCGACTGAACAGCACCCTTCACTTGGGTATACTGAAGGAACATCTTAAAGCCTCTCCACACTCACGCGAGAATCTGAATGTGAAATGTGGAACCAATTTTCATAATCTTCGCAGGTTCTCGGCTTGTTCTCCGATTTTTTTCGATTTTTTTTTTGGCGCGAGAACGCGAGAACAGGCGAGAACTTGTATTGACTCTACACTCGCATGTTTCTCAGTGGCAGGTGACTAGCCAATTAGAACAGTTGTGCATGGTATTTACTACCGAACATCAATATTAGCCGGATTTGGACGAACGAACTAGAATTGGCTTTCCTAGAATATTTTCAAGCAGATCTGATTGTGTAGAATACAAAGTTAAAAGAATATAATAATAAACTAAAAGCCGATGATGCGTGGAAACGTATTAGTACCTTGATGAAATTACCCATTGGAGAATTGAAAAACAAAAAAAATCGTTATTAGCCAGCTACAGAGGGTATAAAAACAAAATCCAGAAATCGAAAAAATCTGGTGCTGGTGTCGACGACATTTAATTCTGCGTCCATCGTTATCGAGCACGAGAACTGTGTGGACCCAAAAAAGTTCTCGCCGAGATTCTTGCCGAGATTCTCGTGCGAGTGTGGAGCGGTTTTTACAGAATGATGGTACGTTCTCACGGGGTAAAAACAGACGCTTTCGATCTCTTTTTCGTGATCTTCATATAGTCCAGGCTAGATAAAAAAAAGTTGAAAAAAAGTTTAGCAGATATCTGAAAGTTTTAAATGGAAGGGGGTCTTACTAATGACAAATACATAAGAAGCTCCAACCAGATATGCGCTTTTTTATAAACAATGGGAGAATCCCAAAAATCAGTGTTTTACTTGTATAATTGGCAAATTAAGTTTTATAAATAATCGGTAAACTGGAGATTCTAGAGCAAAAAACGACCTTGTTTTTTAAGATTTAAAATCGATAAAAAATTAAGCTAAATACTGTTTTTTAGTAATACTGAATAAATGTTTATAAATATTGCAATAACAATTTTAATTGGCTTAACATTTATGAGAATGAGGGTACGAGGGATGACTTTTAAGATTTGCATATAGAAACAGGAAACTCAAAAAATATGTACAGCATTGTGGATGGTGATGAATCGTGAATTTACTGTTACGAACCAAAAAATAAACGACAGTCGGCTGTTTGGCTGTTCCAAGATGAAGAAACGCCAAGAAAAGTCATCCTCGAAGTGTTTCGAAAAAGATGGTCGCGACATTTGTGTCAAAAGTCGGTCATATTGCAACCATTCCTCTTAATGAGCAAAGAACTGTTACTGCGTATTGGTATACCACCAACTCAGCCCTACTGAGCGAGGGCCGTGGCAAATGCTTGTTCCGGAAGTTGTTGTATCCAGTATACAACTTCTTCCCGTCCAAGAGATTGTACACGCGTTAAGGAATACCTCAGTACCGATTGCCGGGTGGCGGTACAAGTCCGCCAACGGGCCACTTTAGGTCTACTTAATATCACTAACACGTAAGAAGAAGGTGGTAGACAAGGACCAGTCGACCGAGGCGGTACCACCCGCTAGCTTTTCCCAGGGTGTCTTATAAATGTCCGCATGTTTCCACACCTAAGCTATGCAGTCGGTTATCTTCCAAAACAAAGAAATTAATGATGATGGATCCCTCGAGCACTAAGAACTCCGGACGTAAACTCACTCCACCCTCGGAATGTCCGGGTGGAGGGTGGGCTCGAGGGAACAACATCGAAGATAAAATTTGAAATTTGTTTTTCGAACATCTGCGGGATTAACAGCAACATTGATGCTGTTCATCACTACCTACCTGCAATCCAATCGTCCCGCCGTGCTTTTCTTGGCGGAGACAAAAATCTCAGAGACTGCACCGATTAACCATCTCAACTTCCCAAACTACGAGGTGCACTCCAATCTGAGAAAGAACGGGGGAGTTGTGACTTGTGTCCGCAGCAGTCTTTCCTGCTCCAGGGATCTTTCTTTGGAATCAGACCGGAAGGACATTCTGTGGCTTCGCCTCAACTCCAAAACATCACCCAAATTTATTTGCTGCCTTCATCGCTCTCCCTCGAACCACAACTGACCTACTCGAATACCTCGCCGCCCAGATCGACTTCCTGAACAGCAATCACCCCGATTAAGAGGTAGTTCTTCTCGGTGATTTCAATGCCCATAATGAGCTTTGGTTGGGCTCAAATAAGACCAATGCAGCAGGTCGTGCAGTCGAAGCGTTCGCACTTACTCAAGGGCTGACCCATTTGGTGACGAGCCCTACTTTTTTCCCCCGCGTCTAGTCACACGCCAGTAGCCTGCTGGATCTATTTCTGACCACGCATCCTGTCCCTTACAGCACTGCTGTCCTGTCCCCCCTGGCTAACTCAGACCACGGTGTTGTGGAGGTTACGTTTCGGTCAGAAGCCGCTGTAGCAGCAGAAACTCGTACAGGCCGCAAAACTTGGCATTACGGACATGCCGACTGGGAGGGGCTCAGATACTACTTCTCTAGCTTTCCTTGGAGAGATGTCTGTTTCACTGAGGCGGATGCGTCGACTGTCTGTTCTTCGATAACCGAAATTATCCACGTCTGAATGGAGGAATACATCCCTCACACAGTGAAAGTTCCTAAACCAGGTTCCAACGGCTGGTTTAACAAATCGCGTGGCACTGCTCGCCAGCAGAAGATCAAGGCACACAGAACCTACTTACAAAACCCCACTGTAGGGAACAGACAAGCCGACGTCGAGTCCAGAAACAAATATAACGAAGCGGTTCGCAATAAGAAAAACCAGCCCGATATAAAAGTTAGGCACAGGGTAATGTCGCAGCGCAATGGCAGTCGGTCTTTCTGGACGCTGGCCAAGCAGATCTACTATAGCTCTGCTTTCTGTTATAAGTAAAGTGATGGAGAGGTGGACTACCTCGAACGTCACAGCTTAATTAGCGACAGGCAGTACGGTTTCCGGCACCAACGATCCACAGGGGACCTCCTAGCTTACGTGACGCAATTGTGGAGTAAACTCATCCAGTCTCATGGTGAGGCTCATGTAGTTGCTCTTGACATCACGAAAGCGTTCGATCAGCTGTGGCACGCTGCCCTCTTAAGCAAACTTCCACCCTATGGCCTCCCAGAAAAGCTTTGCAGATGGGTGGCAGACTTTATCTCTGGACGCAAGATATCCGTCGTAATTGACGGATTCTCCTCTTCATCCCACAACGTCAACGCGGGTGTTCCCCAGGGATCGGTCTTGGCTCCAACACTGTTTCTCTTATATATCAACGACCTCCTCTCCTGCACGATCAACCCAATCCACAGCTTCGCTGATGACAGCACTCTACATGCAGGAATTCAGATTGACACGCCGATCTCTGCCGCTGAGCTGGAAAAAAGAAGACTAGTGACGACTTCTTCTCTGACAAGAGACCTGGAGGCTATCACTGCTTGGGGACGCAACAATCGTGTACAGTTCAATGCTTCCAAAACACAGTACTGTACTTTAACGAACAAAAAGCGTCCTAGCGCTCATACAGTTTCGATGGACGGCCGAGTTCTACCAAAGAACCATTCATTCCGGCTGGTCAGAGTCCAGATCACCGAGGACCTGATCTGGCACGACCACATCTCGTCAATAGCTGCAGCTGCTGGGAAAAAGCTAGGCTATTTGTTTAGGGCTAAGAAGTACTTTTCTCCGCATGACCTTCTCACTCTATACAAGGCCCAGATAAGGCCTAGCCTCGAGTATTGCTCACACATTTGGGGTACTGCCGCCCCGACTACATTATCCATGCTCGATGCTGTCCAGAGAAGGGCGGTCCGACTGATCGATGACTCTTCCCTAACAGACAGTCTCGGGTCTCTTTCGCACCGGCGGGCCGTCGGCGATCTAGCTCTTTTCTATCGCTACACCAACGGGCTTTGCTCCTCAGAGCTCTCTTCCATGATGCCGCCGCGCGATGTGCCTGCCAGACAGACCCGCCTGACTTCGGCGTCCCATCCTAACCGTGTCACACTTCTACACACACTACATCCAGAACTGGCCGATACGACCGCTCCTTTGTCCCGAGTGTGTCGAGATTGTGGAACAATCTACAAAAGGAAGCTTTTCCCAGTTCTACTAACCTTAGGCAGTTCAAAAATCGTATTAACAAAATTTCTTTGGGATCATCACAGCAGCCGCGGTGTTCCGGCATTTAGGCTTCTGCCTGCGCGGCAGTTTCGATATAAAAAAAAACTATTTGTTTGCCAAAAGTCGTCACCAAGCTTTGAAAAATCAACCCCGAAAGAAGAATCATCCTCCACCAAGACAATGCAAGCTCGCACACAGCCCAAAAAACAAGGCAGTATTTAACGGAAGAAAACGTGGAATTATTGGACCATCCTCCATATAGTCCCGATGTAAGTCCTAACGATTTATTTACTTTCCCGAAAATTAAAAACAGACTCCGTGGTCAAAGGTTCCAGTCACCAGAAGAAGCAGTTGACGCATTCGAAAATGCCGTTTTAGATCTGCCAGCAAACGAGTGGAATAAGTGCTTCGAAAATTGGTTCGAGCGCATGCAGATGTGTATTAATCTTCGTGGAGAATACTTCGAAAAATAATAGTCATTTAAAACTACCTACCGTGTTGTTTTATTTCAATATGCAAAACTTAAAAGACATCCCTCGTATCATTGGTGTTAATAAGTGTACTAAGTTTCAGCCGGATAGGTTTAACACTCGTAGTTCATGTAAAAAGCTAATTGTTTATCCCAGAGATGAATTATTTTAACAACTGTTGTTGTCCAAGATATGGCCCTAGAACAAATGAATTTTTGAAGGTTGTTTCAAGAAATTATGCAAAAAAATAATTATTCCTAAATTGTTTTAAAAAATGATGTTAAAGAATATCCATTTTTGTAGTTATAAACATTTACAATAACACTGTTGATCTGGATAGGTTGTTAAAAAAAGATCCACAAACTTGACAAAGACAGAGGTTCTGGTTGATAGTTGTGCTCTTTTGGGTCAGTGTGTGTTAGGAAAAAGGCTGAGAGTCACGAGTAGAGATGAAAGATAAAACAAAAGGTGTTGTTGGGTCAGGAAGTACATAATTGCAATTTGCCAGACACCGAATTCAGAAATGAACGTCCAAAGACTTTAAAAAAGTTGCTACAAATGTTTGGTTTTCTCCTGTAACGCGTCTCACCACACATTTCAAAGGCATATAACAACATTCCTTGCTCTCGAATGGCGTGTCCATTCCAGAAAATGAAATGTGTTTGATGCGCATCGTGAGCGGTCGTGGACTTACCTCTCACCTGATGACGTCAGATGCAAATTGACGACATACTGCCCAGACGGAGGCAATTCCACGAACCCGAGGATCGCGCTAGCGTGCCACGCTCCGTGAGAAAGAAGCTTAAGGAGTACTTCATATCTGCATTGTCCAGGCCAATAAATCAAAGATGTTGAATAAATTACTAATAGTTCGGCTGTTTTCAAGATACAAGCCAAATAATTTAGCTACAAAATAAGCTGACTGATTAATACCGAATATTTACAGTAGTTACAACAACGTTTACCTTAGTTTACTTGGACAAATCGATATCGAGATCAGTCTTTTTGCAAGGTCTCAATTTCATTTTATTTTTAGCGTTTTCTAAAAAGTGCCTAATCATTTAAATAGCATCATTTAGACTGAGTCCATTGGGCCGAAGCTGTTGTCTGCAAATTGACATACAATTTTACTACTTTTCTCTAATTATGCGGAAAAGCGGGTTCTCTAGAATTGCGTGAACGTTGTACATTATAACCTCCTCCTGATTAAAGTCTCAGTGGGGACAAAGAACGATAGAAGAATGTTTTTTTCTTCAAGGGGCAAAGTTCAACAACATAGGTCTCTGTCAAGGAACCCCTGTATGCGTTTGGACAAAGATGACGCCTGACAAAAACAAGGAATGAACAACTGTAAGTCGTAATTTGGACATGCAATGATACAAGCTTGTCTTTATTAAGGCATAATTATACAGGAGCTTTCTCGGGTGAATTGGAATCTAAGTAGTTTTACAATTTTGTATTGTACATGAAGTGACGGGTGAGGAGTTGTGTAGCAAATACGAACGTGAATTATGTGGCGTAAGATGTTTTCCTATGTGCAAATGTGTGTAAATACACTGAAATAAAAACTACAGTGGAATCCACTCATAATGAACTTCCTTATAATGGAAACCCGTATATAATGGACACAACTAAGGTCCTATAAATAATTGCATATAAAATCCTCGGATATTATAGACTCGCTTAAAATAGACCCTCGCTTATAGCGGACTATTTTAATCCATTATATGCGAGCTGTTTTGGTAGTTCTCAGAAGCAGATTTATCTGATGCAATCGTTTACGGCGGTTTGGCTTCGCAGTTTGCATTCGAACTTGGCCACCAGTTACACGAAAAGCTCACAATAATTAGTGAACTTGAGCGGGGTTCATCTCAAGCAAATATATGTGCTCGTATGGCTATAAAAAAATCCACTGTGTCAGATATTTGGAGAAACCGTGATAAAATTAAAAATGACTGGAAATCAAATAGTCAAAAGAAAAAAATGCGGCTATCGCTGCATCCCCAAGTCAATGATATGCTGTTTAAATGGTTTCAACAAAAGCGTGCTGATAATTTTCCAATAAGTGAAGCTATGCTACAAAAAAAGGCTGAAGAATTTTGGAAATTGTTTGAAGATTACTTCAAATGTAGTTCCGGTTGGCTAGGCAGGTTTAAGAAAAGACATAACATTGTTTTTGGAAAAATGTGTGGTGAGTCAACTTCAGTTGACAAGAACGTTACCAATGACTGGATTTCGCAAGTTTGGCCCGTAATATCCAGTGATTATTCAGATGATAAAATATTCAATGCAGATGAAGCCGGGATATTTTATAGAGTGCTACCAGATAAAACTCATAAATTGAAAGGCGAAACTTGCAATGGAGGGAAACTATCAAAAGAGTGAATAACTGGTACTGAAAAACGGAAACTATTGATAATAGGTAAGTGAAAGAATAGAAATTCATGTTCTAATTTTTTTGATATTCACTGACAGTGCTGTAAAGAAATTATGACCTTTTTTTTTATTGCAGGGAAATTTAAGAATCAAAGGTGTTTCAAAAATGTTAAAACAATTCCCGTCGATTATGTTGGAAATAATAAAGCTTGGATGACTTCATCAATTTTTGAAGAATATTTAAAAAAGTGGGACGCTGAACTCGTTAAGTAAAATCGTAAAATTTTGCTCTTGGTCGATAACTGCCCCGCTCATCCAAATATTTCACTTAATAACATCAAACTCCAATTTTTTCCACCCAATGTGACATCAGTTCTGCAACCAATGGACCAGGCTGTCATTTGGAGTCTTAAACAAATGTATCCGAAACATACGATGGTGAGAATTATGGAGCTTCAAGAAGATGTCAACATTACCAAAGCTGTCACCATTTTAGATGCTATAAATTTGCTTACTATTGCATGGGAATTGGTTACTCCAGAAACGATTCGTAATTGTTTTCGCCATGCTGGTTTAGTGAAAACATAACTGAAATAGTCAACGATTTTAATCCAGAAGAAATTCCATTAAGTGATTTACTGAAAATTAATATTTTACTGAATATAGACAAATTTAATGAGTATGTAAATGATGACAATAATTTTTTCATTGTCAGACTCCAATTTGGTTAATGAAGGATCCGTTGATAACAAACAGAAAGACGAACTAGAAAACAACGATTAAGAAGAGCTTCCAGTGACAACCAAGGAGGCATTAGACTGCGTGAAAAAGTTGCAACGTTATTTTAAGCAAGAAGAAGACAGTGCAGCCACACTTACCAAATTAAATAAAATTCAACTTGTAGTTCTGAATAATTATACAAAAAACAAATAATTTACTGTTTTTACACATACCTGCACAGTACGTGTGTCTGTAATATGTGTATCAGATTCTGAAAAAATGCAAATTTCAAAATTACGTATAACTTTTTTATATGTATCTTTATTTATGTAATACATGTTAAACAAACACATTTTAAACTTTTAATGTTATTTCTGCTGCTTTTTTCATAAAAAAAGTGTTTCTTTTAAGATGGTCATCCGCCTATAATGGACTATTTGTCACAGTCCCGCCGAGTCCATTATAAGCGGGTTGCACTGTACTACTATAACAACAACTGATTCCAATTCCTAACTATATTGGATCCTCCATACCCCTAAAACTGTTTATTATTGGACTTTGTGCCCACAGAAACTTCTAATCAGGAGATGACAGACCTAGAACATCGATGGTTGTTTGTCCAGATATCGTATCGGCATCAAAGTGATCAAAAACAACTGTGTACCTCGACTGTGTTGCCATCTCTGAATGACAAATCTAACTAACAAAATTTACAGAGTTTTCGCTTTCCGGACATGTCAGAAATATGTTTTGCACCCCAATGACAGCATTATTATGATCATAGACGCTGAATGGACTTGTAGTACTTGCTTTATATTCAGCATTTCCCTCAAAGCAGACTGTGCCTTTATATTACTCTGAGTATTTTAATATTTATCATTTTACTTCCCATTCCTATTGGTGGGAAAGTATAGTAATCGCGAAACTTGAAACATGAGATATTGTGTTTTTTGGATGTTACATGTCATGTACATCACGAAAAACCATGTTTCCCATTTCTGTTCGTCGAGTGGGAGCAGAGAAAAAGGCCTAACATGAAATAAGTGAAAATCGCTCAAACTTCATTTTTGACGTTTCAGAGGATTCTGATGAATTTTTTAGAGGTAAAAAACATTTGAGTGATGTTGTAGGGGGCTGGGGAGGATTTCTCGATTTTTGTATGTTAGTATATATATATATACATACACTCGCAACCGTAATTCTACGCACCTATAAGACACCATCACACAGTAGTTCTCTGCAAAACTTCACGGCAGACGCATGGCGTATCAATATTTACTGTCAGTATTTATCATGGAATCTGATATTCATTGACCGTGTAGCCAGGGCGTCAGTGATTACTGGTTACGTGGAAATTCAGTCACACTGACGAAATGATCAGTAAATACTGAAGATACAGACCACCGTGAATACTGATCGTCTGACATTCACCTAATAGTACAACGTACTGCAAATTGTGATAATTAAATGTAGGTACCCCCTTTCCATTATGTTTTATGCGCTATTCTTTGGCGAATTGTAATGCTTCTAAGATGCAATACAGCCACTTGGCCTGAGGTGGAGTTCTGCTCGCATATTTGAGCTCAGACAACTTTGTTCACGCTTTCTGCATTTCAAATGAGTTCTGTCAGACTGGTTGTTGCTGGCACTTTCTTAATATGTTCATATTGTCGTAAAATGAACCCGATTACCTGTATGTTTTATTACTCCATAAATAATGCGGTTTTGCAGTGAACAACACAGACTAAAGATCTTGGTGTAACATTGTTCTGTAGATTGGACTATTCTGTCCATGTAGCACGCGTCACTTCCGAAGCGACACGGATTCTGGGTTTCATAATGCGTAACTGCCGAACTTTTTCCAACGAAGCGGTACTAAAAGCTCTTTTCATTTGACTGGTGCGACC